CGGGCCAGCCCTAAGATAAAGTATTTTTTTTTTCCTTTTTGTCTTTTTTACTGACCGGTAACGGGATCGCAACCCTCGGTGTCGTGCCCGTACTGGGGACCGGCAACGGGATCGCAACCCTCGGTGTCGTGCCCGTACTGGGGACCGGCAACGGGATCGCAACCCTCGGTGTCGTGCCCGTACTGGGGACCGGCAACGGGATCGCAACCCTCGGTGTCGTGCCCGTACTGGGGACCGGCAACGGGATCGCAACCCTCGGTGTCGTGCCCGTACTGGGGACCGGCAACGGGATCGCAACCCTCGGTGTCGTGCCCGTACTGGGGACCGGCAACGGGATCGCAACCCTCGGTGTCGTGCCCGTACTGGGGACCGGCAACGGGATCGCAACCCTCGGTGTCGTGCCCGTACTGGGGACCGGCAACGGGATCGCAACCCTCGGTGTCGCGCCTGCACCACGCTCAGCCAGTGAGCAGGAACCGGTCTCCACATGGGATCCGAACCCGTGGCCTTGGTGTTATCAGCACCACACTCTCCCGAGTGTGCCACCGGGCAGGCCCAAGATAAAGTATTTTGACTTAAGTTACAGATGACTTTTTTTAGAACTAGTTATTTTATTAAATATTAATACAAAAGGATTAATTAATTACTAAAGGATTACAAAAGGATTTCATCATTGTTGCCTCTAAAGCATGCACTTGTTTTGTTTTCCACACCTAACACGTGAGAATACCTATCCAACTTATCTAATTTTAATCTTAATGGGCACCCCTGCCCATTTAAAAAAAAATAGGAGTGGGGTGGGGTGAAGCAGTAATTTACAGCAGCTTCAAAATAAGTTTAACCTTAATTCTGCATGAACTGTTAACTTCAGGATTGATAGTGCATTGGGAAGTTTACATATTCACATTGCTGTTGATTGAATTGTGTTTCCCAAAGTCCATGTATTAGAAACTTAACCCTCCCTGTGACAGTGTTAAGAGGGTGGGAAATCCTATTATGGTAATTGAAAGGAAGGGCCTTGAAGAGGTGATTAGATTGTGAGGACCATGCCCAAGTAAATGGATTAATCCACTGATGGTTTAATGGTGGTAATGGGAGTGATTCTGAGGGCTTTAAAAGGACTGAGGAGTTAGCTCTCTCTCTGCTCCGCCATTCCCACTATGTTGACACCCTGTGTTGCTGTAAAGCCACCACCTAAGAAGGCCCTCACCAGATGTGTTCCCAGGACTTTGGACTTCTCAGCCTCTGAAACTGTAAGCACTAAATATTATTTCTTTATAAATTACCCAGTTCCAGGTATTTCTGTTATAAGCATCAGAAACAGACTAAACCATACGTTATCTAGCTAGGTTTGATGTCAGAGGTAGAACCTGGGGCGGGCAGGCAATAGTCAGTCTCAACCTACCCAGTCCTCTTACCAGGTTCTTGACCCTGCCACAGGAAAGAATTCAAGGGCAGAGTCACAGTAGACAGTGAGAACAAATTTAATGTAACAGATAAGAAATACATAGTGGCATGCTCCAGAGACTAAGCAGGGCCCACACCAAGTTTAACACAAAAGTAAGTTCAGTACAGATATCAAGTCTAACACAAAAGCAAGGAAACCATACTTAATGTTCAGTACAAAGTGCAGGATGGCTCAAGAGAATGAGCAGCCACTTGCTAAAAGAAAGTTTGATAGAAAGTAAAGTATACACATCTCAGCCAGCAAAGTATGGGTTGCCTCCAGTAAAGTGAGCAACAACCCCACCTTTGCCTGGGATTCGGCTTCTATAGTTTCTCTATCTAATGAATATTCAGTTAAGGGGATGGCTCCCAGTTATGTAACATCTCGTCTTGCACATGCTTAGTCTCTTCCTGGAGCATGTTCATTGGTCGGACCCTATCACATGCACCAGGCATATTCAAGAATATTCTGGGCTCTCTGTTGAGCATGCCCAGCCACTAGATTTGCATAAGCCAGTCCCTTGTGGTCTCATTTTCCCTGTGTTGGTGCTGAAAATAGGTCTAACTGGCAACAGTAACTTTCCTCCAGGTGAAAGTTCACAGGAGGGGATCTGAGACTTCAGGGAGTGGCTGGAAACCCAGAGGCATGTCCTGAAACCTGAACCCAGGGAAACTGAGCACCTCCTATATCAGGATTGCTGTACCATATATAACACAAAGATTATATTCCTCTTATTGGAAAAGATAAAAGTCCTGTTCTCTGCTCATTTTACCCTCTGGAATCAAACCAAATTCTATTTACTCTCAACTTTTGGGAGGGCAGAGGGGAGTAGGGAAAGAGCTCTTATCTAAGCTGACTGAAGAGTAAACACTTT